TTGAGTCTACGAAGGAACCGTCCGTATCAAAAACCAGTGCTCCTGGAACTCCTCCTACGGTTCACGGTGGTCAAGCACCACAACGATCGACTGCTCAGGCAAGAAGACTAAGTTCAGCGAATGGCCTCCATTCACAATGCTCTTTCTGCTCACCTCTCAATCAGTCAAAGAATTTATTGGAACACCAACGCTCGGCGTCACTTGACAAGTTCTGGGGTGAGAAGGATACGGAGGGGTTTACAAGCGAGCTTGTCCTTTTCTCGAACTCAAACGCAGCTGCCTCGGATGACGCTCTAGCGGCAACCAGTGCCGTTGTCGAGGTTGATATAACCAAGTCCAAGGACGCACGTAAAGCTCGAACTGGCAAAGCCCCTCAAGAAGACAAAAAGGAGGCCAAGAGTCGAAAGATTTTCCTGGAGATACATAACATCAAAATCAGCCAGGTAATAATGTGGGCGCGCAGTGAAACTGATCGCTTAACTGGGTGACTTTGCAGGTGGAGCTCCTCGTCACATACGAGGGATCGAAGATCTCCGTCAGTGAGCTGAGGCTACTGATGGACACGTTCACGAGGACCGAATTCACTGGCTCTTGGCGTCGGCTGTTTTCTAGCGTGAAGAAACATATCATCTGGGGTGTCTTGAAGTCTGTCACCGGAATGCAGGTAATTCAGTGAACGTCTTTGTTGAGGTTTCTCACTTGATTGATCCAGGGAAAGAAATTCAAGGATAAGATGCAAGCCCAAGCCCGCGAGCCGTTCCAAGACAGCGATTCAAACTCGAGTGACAGCGGCATCACGTCAAAGATCAGCACCAAGGAACGCTTTCCCATTCCCATTCCCCATTTTTCAAGCGCAGGGGAGGGGTTCGTGTCTTCCATACGAGGACTATTCAACTCCCAGAGGAAGAACATGGTGCGCAAGATACGAGGAGAGGAGAATCAACACGAGTGGAGCGACGGCGAGTTGGCCTCTCGAGCAACACACAAGGGGAAAACGAAGCTCCTGCGCAGGCACTCGAAGAAGCGCGCTAGCATATCCAAAGGTAAAGTCATTCACCATTTTGCAAGAGCAAACTCGGCAGCTTTTTTGTTGGTGGTGTTTGCCAGGTTCTATAATTCTGGGAGAAAGGTACTGCCCGTCTCCTCGAGCATCGTCGTCACCGTATCACAGCGATGGCGAGGCCTCCAGCGGTGGTTCCTCCACGTACGAGGATTTTGATACGTCTTAGCGGCCTTCAAAACTGTAAACATACTCGTAAATACATTGGAAATAATTAATCCAGGGATAGGGTTTATGATTAGGGGTTAGGGTTAGGGTTTAGGGTTGGAGAAAACCCTAAACCCTAGCATAAACATCGTAGGGTTTAAGGCTAAGCCCTAAACCCTAAACCGGTTGGCTTCTTAGTACAAAAACTCAATTTAGAAAAGTTGATAAGGCTACAAAACCAGGAAAATAGGACTTGGTTCGCGAATGTGGTTTGCGTTTTTCTTTGTGATTCTTGTTTCCTCATCTCTATGCCTTCTCGGTCTTGGCCGCGGCACTGGCGGCTTGTCCACGGAGACGCCCAGTCCTCCGGGCCGCAATGAGACCCACCTTTTGCCCCGGAGGAGCGTCGCGGCGGACAGTGCTGGCGTGACCGATGTGCTGGTGGTTACCTCCTCCGTGGGGATGCTCCACGGGATTCATAGCCACACCACGAACCTTGGGCCAGCTGTTGCGCTTCACGCGGAACTTGTGGTACGCGTTGCCCGCCTTGAGCAGAGGCTTCTCAGTCCGGCCACCTCCCGCAACTTGCCCGATCATCGCTCGGCAGCCACTGGGAACCACCTTCTTGGCCCCGGATGGAAGCTTGATACTGCAGAAGAACTCACCAAGAATTCGCTTGTTAAACAAAGTATGAATCGAAACAAGGAAAGTAGAAACAAACACACAAACCAAAGATGCGGAAAGAAGCGATGGATCGAAAGCATTGCTTGTTAGAACAATGAAAAGCATGGAAACAAGAAAAGCTCAAGAAGAACAAACGAGCAATCAAGAGATCGAACGCATTACCGGGAGGTTCCCATGTCTGGATTGTGGCTGACGACGATAGCGTAGTCTCCAGAGGCCCTGGCGAAGGCGCCCCTGTCCCCGACGCGGTGCTCCACATTGCACACCACAGCGCCCTCTGGCACGGATCTAAGCGGCAGAATGTTTCCAATGGCGAGCTGAGCCTTCTTCCCGCAGTACATGAACTGCCCAGAGTAGATCCCCTCGGCGGCGATCATGAGCTCCTTCTGGTGCTTGAAGCGGAAGGGATGGCGGAATGTCACCTTGCACAGCGGCGCCCCGCGGCCAGAATCGTGGATCACGTCAGTCACCACACCCTTGATGTAGCCATTGCGCTCCGCGAAATCGAGCTTCCGGAGCCGCGCCGGGCCCTTGCGGTGGTGCGTGTGAGATTTGAAGACGGAGCCGCGACCCTTACGCTGTGCCCGGATGGCGCGCCCCATTGCTCCTCGCTCGCTCGCTCCTGCCCTAGCCGCTGGAAAGACAAAGCGCCCTAAATTGGACGGCTAAAACAGCAAACTAATCTCAGCCGTCGGATGGACAACGTAAGATTTTAGGGCATTGTGAAGAGCAAAGAAAATGTGCAGTGATGCAGAGGAGCGAAATGGCTTGACGTATTAGCGATGGAGTGGGCTTCCTAGAACCTTCTTTTGTATTGCTCCACATTGTGACTATGCTTCAACTTCGATGGTTTTAGTGGTGTTTTACTTTTTATAGAATAGTTGATTCATTATCGAACCTTTCAAAATAAAGGTTGATAAATTTTCATATGAAATGTACAATTCATATATTATTATTTTATTAAATTGTTGGTCACAACATTAAGTCTACTATACACATTACAACTAATCTATTATACTTATTCTTAAATATAAATTTTTTATATAAAACATATCTCATTTTCTATGATCTTTTTCTAATATTCTAGGATATTCTTTAATCTATTTTTCCGTGTTTAAATTTCTAGTTAAAAAAATCAGCAATTGCACTAATAATAATGGCTTAACAAGGCTTTATGAGATAATAAACTCATTTTATCTTACGATGGCTATGCTATCTCATGGCTTACGATGGCTATTAACAATGGCTTAAGTATTTTATAATAAACTCATTTATCTTCCAAGCTTTGAACTCATTTATTATTACGATGGCTATGTTATCTCATGGTCTACGATGGCTATTAACAATGGCTTAAGTATTTTATAATAAACTCATTTATCTTCCAAGCTTTGAACACAATTTCTTTTTATCATTTCCTCATTTTTGCTTTGATAACTACTAAAAATTCCTCTTCTAATGCTTTTTTATCCACTTTTTCTTTTTCAACAATATTGCTTTCTCAGTTTTTCTTGCTTTTTCCTCTTTGCTTTGACACTTCAAGTTTTTTCTTCTTTAAAAAAGGGGGTAGATAGGACAAATAGGAGTCTAACTTTGAGGATGAATAGATACTATAATGGAGAAGTTTGAACTATATAAGTTATGGAGTGAGGATGAATATAATAAGTATGAATGAAACATTTAACCCCAATTGTAGTACATATGATCATGAAATGAAATTTGGATATACTATCACCATGGGTACTTAAAACTTTGAGAAATAAATGAGGATAAAATAACTACTAGGAGCTTTCTCATGAAACAATTACCCTTTTTCCAATTGGCTTAAAAGGAGAGAAATAGAGTATATTACACTAATGTAATGAAGTTGAATAAATGTAATAATGAAATAAAGTTGAATATCAATAGCAAAGTGAAGATGAATGCAATAAATATGAACAAAGTTAGTGTTTTAAAACTTTATCTCCTTTACAAAGGGGTTAAAGACAATATAAAGGATGACCACAATAATATACATAATGCTAAATGAGGATGAAGGTTGTGAGTTTGAGTTAATATAAGTTTTAAAGGCTGATTAAAAAGAAGATGTAGATGTAGGTTTTATGAGTCCATGTTAATGGTGGTCATATATATGTATTATCTTGACTAAGTAATAGATTAATTATAATATTATAACATATAAACCATCTATTTAGGATTAAATCTAGTCCATCTATTTTTGTATATAAGCAACAATCTAAACCCTAAATAATATACATAATCGTATATGCCTAGCACTTATAGTAATTTTATAAACCATAAGGTTTAAAATATAAATCACCTTATAGTATTAACTAAATTAAAAAATTTAAAACTCTTTATAAATTAGAAAACAAAATTAAAATACATGCTAGCACTTTAAATATATATATTATTTTATATTTTAAATATAAGTATAGTACTTATAAAGTAATTTCTTTAAATTAAAAATTATAAAAGTAGTTGTTAATATATATAAATAATGGACAAGAAAAAATGTGTTAAATATAGTCAACTTTTATAGGGCTCTAGAAACTAATCTAGTTCAACCGTTAATTAATCCTCTTTAAATATTAGGTACCAAATCTGTTTTCTGAAAAAAAACTAATAGTAAAATAATTAGATAATTATTATGTTGAAGTATGTTCTACAACAATAGGCATTTATTATAAATTAATTTTTTTGTAAGTTATTTATATTTTCTCTTTATGTTGTTAATATCACTTTTAGTTTGGATATTTATAAATTAAAATTTTAAAATAACCATAATTTTGCATATAAATAAATTTGCGATATAATCTAAATTATTTATAAAATAATTAATACTTTTATTACTCTACATCAAAATATATTTTAAATGGTTATAAAAAATAAAATGTTTTATATTAAATTAATTTAATACTACTTTAAAAATCATATAATATTTTCTGTTAATTTTAATACTGGAACTAATTTCTACATTATTCAATATGTTTTTTTATTAGAGAGAGAGAGAGAGAGAGAGAGAGAGAGAGAGCCTCTGCACACAGCAATATCTTATATATGAGTCGTAGCATCCTTGGAAACTGAAATAGTGTCATTCTCAAGAGGGAAACAAAATAAATTAATACTACACCTAGACAAAGTTCGCAGGAACAACAATCTATCCCAATCCATAATTACATGGATGTTCCAAGCATGGATGCTTAATCTTGCTCTTGCCAATGGGAGAGTAGTTTCGTCCTAGCTGCTGGTATTACGAACAACGTGAAATCCTCTGACATAGTGACATAATGAATGAATGAATGGATCTGGGCAATTCTCTGCATATTGGTGAATCACAAAAACAAGCTTTCGTCTTGGTTCTTCGTCATCTTCAAGCAAGTTAATTCACCAGCAATCAGAGCACGAACAAGCTCCACCATTGAAGTGATGGAATCGGTAGCAATCCCTCACCACAATTTCTCTCTTGGTGTTCTTGGACGTGAGCTTCATCACGACATGGCAATCCTCGCAGATCCGCAAGTTCTTGATGATGGTGATCTTGCTCCCCTCCTTCGTCCCGATCAATCCAAACCCCAGCGCCAATTTTTCACTGTGATGCCACAGCAAATTCTCCCGGTGCTCGTCCTCCACATCGTGGAGCACCGATCCCACATCCGGGACATAATCCTCCTCGCTCTTGAGAACCACTCTCAGCTCATCCAGCCGCTCGTAGATCTCCCCAGTTCGAGGATGCGATCGATCCTTGACAGCAAACTCGTGAACCCTGTTCTTCACCTCAATCCAGCTCCGCCCCGGCTCCTTCCTCGCCCCATTCTCGCTCATTCTCCTCCGTATCTCCTCCGCCTCGTCCCATCGCCCCGCCGCAGAGTAAACATTCGAGAGCACCGTGTAGCTCGCGCCATGGCTAGGGTCGATTGCTACGATCGCCTCCGCTGCTCGCATTGCCCGATCCTGGTCCTTGTGGATCCGGCATGCGCCCAGCAGCGCCATCCACGCCGCCGCGTCGGCAGCGATCGCCATCGACCGCAAGAAACCCTCGGCCTCCTCCAGCCATCCCGCGCGCCCTAGGAGATCCACGACCGCGCCATAGTGCTCCACGCTGGGAATCAAGCCATAGTCGCGGGAGATTGCGTAGAATATTCGCGCGCCGTCCTCCACCTGGCGCGCGTGACTGGACGCTGACAGGGCGGCCGTGAAGCTGATTGGGTCTGGAGATATTCCCGCCAGCTGCATTTCATACAGTAGCCGTACCGCCATGTTAGCATAGCCGTGCTGCGCGTACCCCGCCATAATGGCATTCCACGTGCTGACGTTGCCCTGCGGCGCCGCGTCAAAGATTCCCCGCGCGGCGTCCAGGTCACCGCACTTCGCATACATGTTCACCAGCGCATTCCGGACGAGAATGTCGTGGGGGTCGCAATCGCCTGGACATTCCGCCATCCAGCGGTGGAGATCGCGCCCCGCGCTCGCCGCCGCCCCGCTAGTGGCGCAGGCGCCAAGAACAGCGACTAGAGTGAATTTGCTGGGGCGGATTCCGAGCTGGAGCATCTGGCGGAAGTGGAGGAGCGAGCCATCGGCGCGGCCGAATTGGGCGTGCGCGGCGATGATCGCGTTGAGCGTAATCACGCCCGGGTGCTGGATCGCGGCGAAGACCTCGGCTGCGCGATCCAGGCGGCCGCAGCGCCGGTACATGCTCACAAGCGCGGTGGCGACGATGAGATCCGAATCGTAGCCGTGGGCGCGCACGTCCCTGTGGATGGATTCGCCACGCTCGAGATCGTCCGGGCAATCGCACGCCTCGAGCACATTGACGAAGGTCACGCCGTCTGGCCGTATGGTCATTCTTCCATATAGATCAAGAGCCCCGGAAGAATGCCCGTTTTGGGCAAATGCTGAGATCATGGTGTTCCACGAGCACACGTCTCGCCGATCCATTTTTTCGAAGATATCATTAGCGCGAGTGATATTCCCGCCACGGCCAAAGAGGTTGATGATAGAATTTGCTACGGTGGTCACGGATATCAGTCCCGAATCGATCGAACACGAATGGATCAAGTTGCCGCAGGTGGTGATCTTGGCAGCTATTCCAGCGACGGCGCTGGCGATGCAGATGATCGTCACCGCGTTTGGAGCAATGCCCTGGAGCAGCATCTCGCGAAAGACGCGAAGCGATTGCTCCTTCTCGTCGCCACGGGAGTAGACAGTGATGAGCGCGTTCCACGACACGACCCCGCGCTCCTGGATCCGATCGAATGCGTCTTTGGCGCGATCCAATCGCCCACAGCGGCCATACATTCCGATGAGCGCAGTGCCCACCACGAAGCTCCGATCGAATCCACTCTTCTCGGCGAATTCCTGGACGATCTCGCCCTCCTGGATCGTTCGCGGCGCCTTGATCAAGCTGAGAAACACCACCGCATCCGGCAGGCTCCCATCCTGGAGCATTCGCTGGAAAAAAAGCAGCGATCGAGGGAAATCCCCGGCCTGGGCGTTTGCGCGGATCACCGCATTCCAGGACAGGGCATTGCGCCGGGGCATTCGATCGAGCAGGAGCTCCGCGTCGCGCGAGCTCTCGAGCCGGGCATACATGTGGAGGAGGTGATTGGAGAGGAAGAGGTGATCGCCATAGCCACTCTCAATCACCCGGCGGTGGATCTTCCTTCCCTGCTCCAGCGACGTGGATTCGTCTACCAGTCGCGCGAGATCCCTCCAGGAATCCACCGGCGCGGCCGGGGGAAGAACACTCAAGATCATAGCGCGCGAGAAAAGAGAAAGGTCAAATAGAGCGAATATTCATTAGACGACTGGGTCAAAGGGGCCTTTGAATCTCGTAGCCACGCTTCGAGAGTTCTTGGAGAACGCTCGCCAAGGTGTTTGGATTCGAGAAAACCTCCTTGACAAGACAATTCTCGATGGCTTCCAGTTCTTCTCTATCTTGATCCGCCACCTTTTGCTTCTTTGGCGGTGGAAGTCGGTGATACCCTTCGAGTATGTCGACCACATTCAGCAGTGAAGGATCGTGCTCCTTATCCACCTCTTTTATCGGAATTGGATTATCATCCTCCTTGTCAACCTTTGGTATCTCGTGCTTATCCGGAGTTAGATCATCCTTTTTGTCAACTTTTGGTAACGGAGTTACGTGATCTTTTCCATCGAGTTTCTTCCTCTTGAGGCTTGGAATCGCGTTGTAAAGCACTGGAAAGGAGCGAAAAAACACTTAAAAGGAGCCAAATTCCACCCAGAAAACCTGCTTACGTCTAAACGGATTAAACGATGGCTTCCTCTCATTCTCCGCCTTGGCCGTCTACACGAAAAACAACTTGAGAACGAGGCAACGAAAAGAAAGCATAGAACGTTACCATCGCCAACCTACAGAAGAACACAAAACCACAGAACTACAAAACCTAAGCCCCCATATATAGTCTAAAACTTGATTTCATCTTATTAAAAGGAAGAGAGTTTTTAGAACCACGGAGTTAGAGAGTGATCACCCAGCTGGGCGCATCACTTCGGCACCCAGCCAGCGTCCTGTACGCATACAACTTCTCAACCGGCTCGCTGCAATCCATGACAAGCTCCCCGCCACCTTTCTCGCCACCTTCGCCACCTTCAGCGTCACCTTGCTCGCGGATCACCTCGACGTTGAGCCTGGGCATCGCCCCCGCCAGCCAGCCGCAGCCGGCGAGGCTCACCCTGCAAGCCGACATCCACAAGAACCTCATGGACTCGTACTGGTGAAGCCCGGCTAGCAGCGCCGAGTCTCCGAACGGGCTGTCGCGGATCTCCAGCTTCCGGAGCCTCGGGCAGCCGCTGAGTACGTGCTGCATGGCCGCGTCCGACTCCCCGGCGAAGGCCACCGAGAGCGTCTCCAGCTTCTTGGCGTAGTGGCCGATGTACTCGAAAGCCCTGTCCGAGAGCCAGCCCGAGACGGCGAGGCGCGACAAGTTCTTGCAGTTCTTGACGATGGCGCCGAAGCCTTCGTCCATGGTCTCGCCGGTGATGTAGTCGCGCTGCCGGGGGGTGATGATGCACAGGCGGAAGCGAGTGAGCATCGGGCAATTGGTGGCGACGGTCTCGATGGCCTGGTTCGTGCACTGCTTGCAGAAGTAGAGCACGGAGGAGAGGTTTGGACAGCCCTGCGAGACGGCCACCAGACCGGCCTCGGTCACCGAGCCCTGGCCACCGTGATCGGTCGGGAAGACGCGGAGTTCCACCAGGTTCTTGCAGGTCTCGCCCACGGTTTGCAAGCCCCGGTCCTCGACGGAATCCAGAACCTGTCACACAAAAGTCTAGTTATGAGTTTTCGGAATGGGATGATAGGAAGCTTGGAAACTTTGTAAAAAATGAATTGTGACAAAGTTCCTGGTAAGAAGAGTCAAGGATAGGTGATACTGGTGGTAAGAAGCTTGCAAACTTTGTCAAGGATGAAGCATGGAAACTTAGTGGTAAGAAGATTAGAAGCTTTGTCAAAGAGGGAAGCTTGAAAACTTGTAATACCGTGCAAACTTTGTCAAGAATGAAGCGTGGAAACTTAGTGTGGTAAGAAGATTGGAAACTTTGTCAAGGAGAGGAGCTTGAGAATGGCATTGGCAACTTTGTCTTGGCGAGCAGCTTGGTAGAAGGAAGCTCGGAAGCTCCTGGAGGGAGGGTGTGTTTCAGGCTTGGAAGAGAGAAGCTTACCCAGAGAGTCTCGAGCTTGGGACAGCGCTGGATGAGCTTGGCAAACTCGGTGGCCCGGATGGTGGCGTAGCTCAAGTTGAGCGACAGGAGGTTCTGCGCCAGGGGATAGATCAGCGGGATGAAGATCGGCTCCACCATCCAGAAGCCCGAGAGGTGGCGGAGATCCTTGCAGTTTGAGAGCGCGGTGCGGAGCTCCACGTACTGCGACCAGTTTTGCATCTGCGAGTAAGTCCCGGTGCCGAGATCGGTGAGCTGCGGGGCCTTGACGAGGAGGCGCAGGAGCTGCTCCAGAGTGACGCCTTTGTTGAGGTTGAGCTTCTTGAGGGAGCGGCAGCGCGAGACGAGCTTCTCCAGGCACTCAAAGTTGACATCGCTCTCCAGGCACGAGAAGTTTAGAGTGACGAGCGTGTTGCAGCTCTCCGGGAAATAGCTTAGCCACTCTCCACCGCGGTCGTCTACCAGGCACTCCTGGAGGTCTAGCTCTTGCAAGTACCTGCGAGTATGACGAGCATAGCGGTCAGCAACCACCACCAAAGCTAGCTGGCCGCTCAATCCTACGAAGTTCGAGAGCTCTACAGCTGAAAACTCGCTCGCTAGCCGTGCTAGAGACGTGCACGACTGTCAAACAATGATCTCTTGAGAGACTTCTCAAAAAGAAAGAAGAAATGACTGTAAACTGATGATCTCTCGAAAAAGTTCTCACAAAGAAAGAATGAAACGAAGAGCTAGAGAGAGAAGAAGCTTGAGTTACCTGCAGTGGCTGGTGATGGCTGCAATGCCCTCGGTGCTAAAACCATCGCAGTTGACGAGGTTGAGAGCTCGAAAGTTTGGCAGCAACTGCGAGATCATGAAGAGGCTCTCGTCCGACACGGTCATGCGCTTGAGCCTGAGCGCTTCCAGCCACGGGTAGCTCTCCACGATGACGGGCATCCAGGGGTGGAAGAAGGCCCCCCAGTTTGGAGGAACCAAGCTAAAGTCGGCGAAGCGAGGCTTCCCCTTGAGAGTCATCGACTTGAGCCGTGGAAACCTCCGGGTGAGAATGTCTGGAGAAACCGCGTAGCAATTCCCGATGAACACTGCTTCTCGGTTCCACCCCTCGGCCTTGTACCACGCCTTGCAAACCACGGACACGGCGTTTCGATCCTTGTGTCCCGTGACGAACTTTAAGACGTTTTCCAAGACTTCGTCTGGGAAAGTTGTAAGCCTCCCTTCTTCCTCGTCCTCCTCTTTCTCTTGTTCGAGCTCCATGAAACTATCCTTGTGCAACACTACCTCGTCTTCCCTGATCATCTCCTTCTCCCCTCTCGATCGACGCAAACTTAGTAGCGACTACCACTTGTGTGAATATAACTCCAATTCTTCTTCGAGCACCTACACAGCAAAGACAGTTGCTGGTGTCAGTTCCTTTCCCCTCCCCACGGACGAAGGATGATTCCTCTCACAACTTTGCAGGCAAAAGAGAGCGAGCGTTTTTAAGTCCCTCCGGAATGAACAAGCACAAAAGAAGGAGAAAAAAAGGAAGAACAAAATAAAACAACTTTAAAGAAGAATTCCAAGTCGCACACACACTTCATTCCACAGTGAGTGAGAGTACCTCTTCCGGAAGAAATAAGTGAGAGAGGGAGAAGGAAAAAAAGGGATGCATGGCCAAGAGGTTGGAGTGAACAAGACAATGCCACGACTCTCCCGTGAAGGGCCACCGAGGAACAATCAAGAGGGAGGAGACGTGGATAAGAAACTACGAGCAGCTATGGAGGAGCAACAGGGCAGTACAAGTCTAGAAATCCAAAGCAGAAAAAGCAAGCACGCACCAGCCAGCCAGCCAGCAAAGAAAAACGCAAAGAACAAGAGCACCAAAACAAGCAGCGAGCGTGCACTAGTACCACAGCGATGGTGTCTTTAGGCAAAGGGAAATCAAAGGTAAAATAAATAGCAAGGCTGAGGATGACAGACCAGCAAAAAGAACTCGCGGGAAAGACGAGAGAAAACGAGAAATCGGGCGATGAGATCAATCAGAGAGCCGTGCTGACCGCTTGGTGAAAATTGAAACCACTCTCAGAATTCAAGGGTGGTAGTAAAGAAAAACAATTAAAAAAGAAAAAAGAAGAAGAAGACTACGAGGAAAAAACACCAAAAGCAAAAGCTGTAAAAATCAAGAGACGATTCTTTCGGCTCTCACTCGCTCAAGCTTTGCGTTGGATTTCCACGCACAGAGACAAGCAATCAAAGCGGTGGAGACAATAGACTTTTCCCTCGCTCATTGTCAGCCCTGTTGATACTGATGTGACCAAATATCTCTCACGTCTTCTAGCCCCCACTCTTTGAGCAAGCACGCAAAAAAAGAAGGAAAAAAAGAGAAGAAAAAGAGAAACGCCATGTTCTTCAGTCGCAACTCTCAAAACCCAAGAAAAACAAAACCAAAACCAAACCCATCCGATACCAGGGAGGAGAAGTCTTACCTCTTCAAGGACGGACAAATGCCACGGCTGGGCATTTTGCTGTTGGGCAGCCAGTACAGAGTGAAAAAGCTTCGTGTCACTGGAATGGGGGTCCAGCATCGCGCTTGTTCCTTCGCTTTGTAGCCTCTTTTACCACCACCATGGCCTTCAATCCCGGGAACCCAACACGGATAAGATGAATCGGCCGCGAACCCACATCTCAGATTTGCGAGGAGGCAGCCTGTGCTTTCGATTCTTCCCTTGACACAGACTAGGGGAGAGGAGGGGAGAGAGAGAGAGAGAGAGAGAGAGAGAGAGAGAGGAAACAAAGGGGAAAAGGAAGATAAAATGCTGCCCCCCAGAAATGTGTAAACTAAAGGCCCAGGAAAGGAAACATTGTATAAAATTTATATATGTGAGATACTTTGGCTGGGCTTGCTTGCTTGCTTGCTTGCTTGCTTGCTCCTTTGTCTTGCTGGTTGTTTGCTTGGCTTGCTCTCCTATGGTCTCAAAGACATTGGGCTACTAAAACTAATCATTCATGTCAGCTCCTACTAGAGAGAAAAGGAGGAGGAACACAAATATTTTGTGGAGATGGCCCATGAGATTTTGGAGATGTACAGCTGCCTACTTGTTGGTTTGGTGCTGGCTCTTCTGTTCCCAGTTGAAACAACCAGACCGGGTTAGTGGAGAGAGAGCATAAACAAAACAAGCTTTTGGTTTTAACTTGCTCTCATGTTGGCTTTGTCCTAAGTGGGCTGCTTTGCTTATATCTGTAACAAAGAATGTGTAAGTGAGTAGTAGTGATTACAGGAGGAAGGTGTGGAATCAAAACAGATTGAGAAGGGCTTTTGTCAGAGGAATCCCAGGAGAAGACTGGTTCTTCCCCCTAATAAATAATGTTAGAGAGAGAGAGGATAGAGGTCATCTTTCGAGATAGAGAGAGAAAAAAAGAGGAATAGAGAAATGATGCCTTGCCAGATCCATCCAGTGCCTGCCCTGCCCCGTTTGGGGGCTATAACATGGAGTTTTTGATCATTTTCCAGGCCCAAACAAACAAAGCTCTGCTCACCAGCCAGGGAATGCAGAGACCCAACTCTTTTGTGTGTGAGAGAGACTCTGTGCATGAGAGGGAGAGTTTGTGTGTAAACACCAAGGGGGACTGATTGCTTCCCCAAAGCTTCCAGTTTCAAAGTGTTTGTTAAGATTTTGGTGGGAATATCTTTCTCCTCTCTTTTGCTTGTTTCTAGGAGGAGAGGAGAGCTCAGAAGAGGTTGCTTCAGAATCTTTGACCAGCTAGGAAGAATAAATTTCTGCACCCAGAGGCCATAAACTGATGACTCTCCTCTCCCAATGTCATTTGCACTCCAAGGCCAGCCAAGAGGGATGAAAGAACAAGGATGAAGGAGGGAAAGATCTCAGCTCTTTGTGTCTGTCAGTACCTCCTACCTAGGTACAGCCAAAGGGCAAGATTGCAATTGCCAAATGCCAGCCCACAAGAGAGATGAGGTGATGCATATATTTCTCAAGAAATAAATTTGGTTTTTTTTTCTTTATGAGTGAATAGGGGCCACTTTTCTGGAGCCGGCCTGCCTCTGCTGCACTTCTGCCCTGCCTTTTCTCTGCTGCACACAAGTCCCAGGAAGAGGCATTTGTGGTGCTGGTTATTTGTTAGGTGGTGTCTTGGCTTGGACCATGATTTCAGTTATTCTATCAACTAATTTTGTTTAGTGTCAAATTGGCTAACATTTTCCTCTTCCACTTTACAGACAGGAGATTGCACAAATGATGAAACTAATTTTTACGAATCATTCTGTGGATCATGGGCAGACAAGGATACTTTTGTATTGTTTGCTGGTTTGCAGTTTTCTGTTCTGGATTTCACGGATAAACAAGAAATCTAGCAAAGTAAGCACATGAATATTGGCAGATACTTGAAGCTATGGACTTTCATAAAAGAAAAATATAAAATATAAATGTGTTGAAGTGGACAGTATATGTTTTGATTCTATAAAATTTATAAACCAAAGTGTATGGTCTAGTGGTTTATATCTCTTTCAGATATTATTGTAATTTACACTATAGTTTTTGTAGGCTCTAGGTTGTTAAATTTATCAATGATTATTTTATTAGATAATGATGCAACTTTTTTATTGGAGCTTTTCAAAAAGTATACACAGAAAGAAAGTCTTGGAGCTCAAATATTCTTTGACTTTTAGTTTAAGAATTACAAATAGAAAATAGAGGATGAGGGCTTGGGGACAATCGGTGTAGAGTGATGCAATTGTACAGACTAGCTAGCTCACAACGCAAGAAGATTATTTTCGTAGCCACTTTTGATACGCATTCTACCAGGTCAAACAGGCCAACCTTATCTACTTCGTGTTCCCGAGTTTTTCCGTTTTCTTTTATCTCCTTGAAGTGCTCACTAAAAAGATGGCTATAGGTGATGCTTCCTTGCTCCTTTGTTTGTTTGCTAGTTTGTTTCTATGGTACCTCTTAAAGCTAAAGGTCGGTGGTCTCATTTTTTATGCTCGTTGTGGGCCAGTGTGCCTCTGTTGCATATGTTATATATATGTTGTAGAGTGGATGTGATGTTATTGTGTTGTGGTATGTGCGTTTACACTCTTAAAAATGTAGTATTCCTATGGTGGAAAGATCTTGTACCTCATTGTAACTTTCTTCTCTCCTTCTTTCTAGATGGTGTCTCTCCACCTTCTGGGCAAGAGATGTCATTGTCGTGTGAAATTGTTGGGAACTTAAGGATTGAAATCCAAGGCCTCAAGCATTGAAGAAAAAGAAGGGGAGAAGCGTATAAAGGAGTAACACTCTCTTATACTTGCATGCGCAGTATGATTCTTTGTCTCGCTCTTTCCGAGCAGTCCTATGTAATGCAGGCATGTCAAGCTTGTACACAAGCGCTCTAGGAGATGCAACAAGATCGTTTTCTTTGATATTCACGTCTTATTTCTTTCTCTTTCCTTACCTTTTTTCTTTTTTGTCATGGAGAAGCCAAAGAGCTCTCTTTGTTGGTTGGCTTGTTTGATTGAGAACTTTCAAGGCAGCGAAAGTCTTCACATGTTAAGATCCATTGAAGGAGTCCAGATGAGTTTGAAAGTTGGACGTTGAAGCCTCAGAAGCACATGGTTTTCTCCCTCTCTAGTGGAAAAATCTCTGCAGTGAGTTTGGTGGTAAATCCATCCAAAAGTCCGTGGATAAGGCTGATTGCCAAACACCAGTTGGAGTATTTCTTTTCAGTTCATCCAGATAATCTCATTTCATAGTTCATTCCAGACAATCTCAACATGAGGATTAAATTGGTGGTCAGGAGTTTTATTGTGAAACCCAAAATAAACAAACCAAACCTTGCAACGCAACCTTATTCTAATGAACTAAATCACTTTAGGTGCATTTGTAGGCTTCAATAACAACTTGCAGGTCATTGGAAGAGGTGAGACTCAAGCTTATATTCGCAAATCCCTCTGAAGCTAGCAGTTCGTTCCATTCGTTTTCACTCCTCTCTTTTCCTCCAATTGCAGCTAGCATGAGAACGTCCATGTCAACTGGCCTTTTCTCGGCTGGGTCTAACACCTCCTCCACAACAACAAGCTTCCCATTTTCCGGAAGTGCCTTGTAGCAGTTTTGAAGAATTCGCTTGCAGTTTTTGTCGTTCCAGTTGTGAAGAACAGCCTACAGATTAGACACAATCTAATTAGCTAAATTACAAATGCTTTAAGATTACAGTACCTTCATGAAAATAGCATCTCCAGAAGGAACACCTTTGAACATATCACCACCAACATGCTCAATTCCTGCATTCGGAAAACACGAGTTGCAAGAACCACGATAGGAGTCATTTTCGTTACCTGGATATTGTGGAGCAGCCGCAACAACATCAGGAAGATCGAAGTTAATTCCCTTGAGATGTGGATAGTCTTGGACAATCTTGTGAACACAAGCGCCATGCCCGCCACCAACATCAACGATCACACCTTTGATACCCTCAAACGCTTTGCGAGCCTCCTTAATCGCAGCTCCCATGAAACGCTCAGACGTCTCCGAGATTGCCGCTCTAAACATCTTGCTGAAGCCCAAATTATGGCTTGCATACTGGTACAAGCTCTTGCCTTCATTTGCCACCTCAAACGCACTCTCATGGGATCCTCCAAGGGCGAGCTTGTGGATCTCCGAGTAGGAAGCCACCATTGGCTGAGACGTCTGGAGCATCACCATTGCGTGGATGTTCTTGGAGGAGACAAGGGTGGACGAGAGATTGTTGTGGCTGAAGAAACCGCTGGGATCCTCGCAAAAGATCTTGTTCCTCACTAGAGATTGTAGGATCCTCCGCACAACGTCCGGGTTGGGGTCACTGGGATTGATCTTTGCGGCGATTTGATTGTAGTGGAGCGGGGATTCACGACCCAGAATGTCTGGAATGCCCAAGCAGATGACCGCTTTGAGGAGAAATGGCGTGGTGATGGCGTTTGAGATGGAAGCCATTTCCAGATCATAGTCTTGCATGCTTGAAAATCTTGTGATATAGGAAGTGCTGGAACCAAATGCATGATATATATATGCTCCATGAATGTCCTTCGCCACAGCGTCAGCATTGTTGAAATCTTTAACGAAGTTTCCACAAGTTTTTGACTTGGCATTGTAAAAGTTTGGTAGATTTAAAACGTAGGCACTGACTTCCTTTCCAAAGTATTGAATGGTATCATCGAGGAAAAAAAGCTCTCGGCTTCGTGATGCAAAAATTCCAGAAATCGTCTTGTCACAGTAGAGATACTTGCGCTGCAATCGCTCACGAGAATCACTGGGGCAAAAACTCCGCCAAAATTTCCAATGCGGAGCTAAAGCTGAAGCAGCTTGTGGCAAAAACTCTTGGCTCCCATCCCGTCACCCGAGTCTCGTACGGAAGCCTTCTCCAGGCGTGCGGCGAGGCAAAGATCCTGGCGTACGGAAGGGTCGTCCACGAGCACATGTCCGCCGCCAACATGGACACGGGCAGCATATTCCTGGGGAATCATCTCGTGCAAATGTACGGGAGGTGCGGCAGCGTGGACGAGGCCGCCGCAGCATTCGAGCGAATGGGCAGGAGGAACGTTGTCTCGTGGAGTTTCGTCATCGCGGCATTTACCCAGAACGGGCATCACGGCCGAGCAATGCGATTCTTCCAAAGGATGCTCCAGGATGGATTCGAAGTGGACAGGATTCTGATTGTCACGGCTCTTGGGTCGTGCATGGATCTGAAAACCGGGAGAGAGATTCACGAGCTCGCCCTCGAGTGTGGATATGGAAACGAGACGGTCGTGTGTACGGCGCTGCTGGGCATGTACAGCCGGTGCGAGAGCCTGGGCGATGTCGAGACAGTGTTTCTTGGGCTCCAAGAGAAGGATGTTGTGTCCTGGAACGCGATGATCACGGCCTTTGTAGAACTCGGCAAGAAACAATCTGGAGTGAGCATAAAGGTGGTTTGGATGTTTCGAAGAATGCTGCTGGAAGGGATGAAGCCGAGCCGGGTGACATTCATATCCACTCTTGGAGCCGTGGAGAGCAAGGAAGAATGTGTGTGGCTTCATGAAATTATCCGACAGAGCGGGCAAGAGCACGACGAGTTTGTGGCAAACTCTCTCGTTACTGCGTATGGCAAGAAGAACAGCATTGTAAATGCTCGACAAGCGTTTGATGCTGCTTCAGATGCCTGTGTTGGAACATGGAATGCTATGATCGCGGCATATGCCCATTGTGGGCATTTTGAAAAAGCTTTAGAGACCTTTATGTCTATGCTGGAAAGTACCATTAAGCCAGATCAGATCAGTTTTGTGAACGTCCTGGAGGCGATCACTGGGCCAGAACTTTTAAGAGATGGCGAGTTTATACACAAGAGTGTTGTAGAAAACGGGTTTGAGAACGATGGGATAATTGGCAGTGCTTTGCTTGGCATGTACTCGAGGTGTGAGAACTTAGAGAAAGCCGAGGAGGTTTTTGCCCAGATTGGACGGCCTTATCACAGTGTCATCGCATGGAACTCCATGCTTGCAACTTACACAGCGTTTGGGCGATGCAAAGAAGCCATCAAACTTTTCATGGACATGCAGCAAGACGGAAGCAAAGCTAGCGAGGCAACATTTGCAACGCTTCTCGCTGCCTGCGCGGGCGCATCCACTCTAGCTCAAGGCAAAATGGTGGTTTCGTGGATCAACGAATGGCTTATGAGCCACACAATCAGTGCCTGTAGCTATCTCGTAATCCAGAATGCGACGATCAACATGTATGCAAAGTGTGGGAGCCTCGACCTCGCGCTCCAAACCTTCAATTCGATGCATCAGAGAGATGTGACATCGTGGAACTCCGTTTTGGGAACGCTTGCACGGCATGGCATAGGCAAGGAAGCAGTCATCTTTCTCAAGAGGATGCACTTGGAAGGTGTGAGACCGGATGATATCACGTACACTCTCGTTCTCACTGCTTGCAGCCACCATGGGCTCTTCAAAGATGGCCGAAAGTGTTACGAGTTTATGACCAAAGTTCATGGCTTGGAACCCACGCTTGTGCACTATGGGTGCATGGTTGATCTTCTGGGACGCGGAGGCTGGCTGGACGAAGCCGAGGATCTGATAAGAGAAATGCCAATGCCGGCGGATTCAACAGTGTGGATGGCGTTGCTTGGGGCATCAAGAATGCATGGCGATCTTGCCCGCGCAAAGCTGGCAATGAAGCATGTCTGTGAGCTTGAGCCTGATAATCCATCACCTTACCTTCTCATGTCAAATATCTCTTAGTTCTTGCGAGACCTGTATCCATACCTCATTTGTTTGAGCGCAACAATACGTCCAGTCTAATCTACAGTAACACCTCCTCTAAAATTTGGAGGATTGTGGATTAGCATCTTTGAAACCCATAGCCGGAAGTTGTCGTCACCCGGGAATCAACATATCGATGTCCTGTTCAAGATAGATCTTCTTCATATGGCAGAAGAAGAAGATGACTTGATCTCAGGTCTCCCAGGTGAGCTAGTTCTTGTTCACGTTTTTTCTAGGCTGCCTTGGTACACTCGTCCAGTCTGCAGATCTGTTTCCAAACGATGGAAACAGATGATGGATACCAGGAATCATCTTGTCGATATTGCAACTCGCAGGTTTCAGCTTCCACTGCTCCAAGGTGTCGCTTTGGTGTGTTCTTCAGCTCCATATAAGCCTCCAAGATCACACTCGTCTCACCATGAAAAGTACCCTGAAAAGATCTTCCTCATTCAGGACAAGGAAACCTTGCAGTGGCGAAGGCTTCCACCCGTATCTGGCTTTCAAAGCTATCAAGTTGGACAAGTCCGTGTGTACAAAGCAAGGCTTGTTGCAGGATGTGGAGCGGTCTATGCTTGGACAGTTGCCCCCACTCAAAGCTTTGGGGCTCCAGAAGGTAGCTTCATATTCAAACTGGACATTGGTCGGGGAGATTGGATCTGGAAGAGAGTCCCAGCTTCTCAAGTTAGTCGCTGGTCCGAGCCAGTGTTTTTCAATGGTAAGATCTACTCGCTACTACCAGGCTGCCAACCACGGCGGAGGATATGTTCTTGTTTCGAAGTCATGGAGTATGATCCCGAAACAGGCTCCTGCCATATGTCCAACAAATGGCCCTCCAAGAACGTTGGTGTGATCCTGAGCTCTTCTTCGCCACAGCAACAGCTCTATGGCGTAGTCCGCACGTTGACCAACGGTCAACAGCTAATGGTCAACGAGGGCGGGTCGTGGCAGCTACATCGGGAGTTGCCTGCCCTGCCGGACGACCGGGTGTTCAAATTTAAGCTGGTCAATGGCGATTGCTTCGAGCCTGCCGTGGAGGGCGGGGTCAACGTACTTGCCATCTTGCTCAGCCACCGGGATGCAGTGGTCTATTGGTTCAACACAGAAGTCAACGGGGCAAACTGGGTAGCAATCGAGCATCAGAGCCAACCTGGAAATGTGACACAATGTGTGGCTGTTCAAGGATCTTTATATGCAATTTCAAGGAATTTTCCAAGGCTTCATTATAAATTGTGGAAGGGGACCATCAATGTGGCAGAGAGGCTTCTTATTTGGGAGCAAAGGCAAAGGCTCCAAGTTTCATTGTCTTGCTTCACCTTGATGGCATGAAATAGCTTCCAGTATATCCATCTTTTAGAAGATTTTAGAATCAAATAATATAATAATTTGTTGTAGTAATGCTTAGTTTGGATAATTATTCCTACTTATCAATCCAATTGATCAAATAAAGTTTATAATTATAAGCATGTTTGTAATTTATAGATGCAAGATTAATCTTATTGCATATCAACCCTTAGATGGTAGAATAAAATAGAATATATTAAAAAGTGTTTAATTTTTTGGTTTGCTTAAGCAAACCTATAGGGGGACTGGGATGGTATTGAATATACCTAGAATATATTTGGATATTCTAGGATATTCTACCATCTAACGGTTGTTATTCATTTAGATTAATTTTGTATTTATAATTTATAAACATGTTTATAATTTATAAACTTTCTTAAACCTTTTCTAGTATATTCTTTTTAATTCTACCATCTAATGGTTGATATGCAATAAAATTAATCTTGTATATATGAATTACAAACATGCTTATAATTATAAACTTTATTTGATCAATTGGATTAATAAGTAATAATAACACTAGTATTAAGCAAACCAAGCGTTGCTACATGCAACGCGTAGCAATTTATTGTTTATTTTATAAATTATAAACATGTTTATAAATTATAAATATAAAATTAATTTAAATGAATAAAAACCATTAAATGGTAAAATATCCTAAAATATTCAAGTATATTTTAGATATATTCATTCATCTCAGTCCCCCCTTAAGCAAACCAAAAATATTGTGTTTGTTAGAATGTTCATTTATCTTTAGAGAATATTCTATTAGTTTCGATCATTTAAACCCTTACGCGTTTAAACCCTTTAGGGCTTTTTGGGATGGGCATTCACAAGCTCTATGGCGTCAAGATCGCGACGGCCTACTCCTGCCCTGCTCGGCCGACACCTCGATCGGATCACGGCAGCGGCGGCGGCAGCTCGTATGTGTTCTTAATCTCTTCCCGATTGCGATCTCCTCGAAATCTGGCGCTTCCCGTCTTGCATTTTCACGGTTTGTCGTGATTCGCTAGCAGACTGCTGGGATCCGGTGATTTGGAGGCGACGCAGCAGCAGGAGGAGTGGTGCTTGAGGTCTCTATGGGAGCGCCGGCCAAATTTCTTGCGAGCGTTCCATTCTTCACACAGAGGTATTATAAACTAAGTTTTGGATCATAGCTTGAGAGAAAAACTCCCAGCAGGTGATAGAAACCTCGTGGAAACTGTTATAAACGTTGCTACTTCGTTGCCGTTTGTTTTGATTGGGATCCAAATGCCAAGGTATGAGCAGCATTGTAATTCTTCCTTCCAGATTGTTCTTTTCTTCTTCCCCTTTACAGGCAAAAGCCGCTCACTAGACTATATGCTGATTCTTTGATCGGTGTCGGCCTCGCGTCAACTTTGTTTCACGCATCGCGTGGAGAGGCTCGAAAGTATTTTCGATGGGGAGACTATACCATGATCGCTACTTCAACTCTGGTACCAACAATCTTACAATGTTTTCGATCTCTTTAAAACGTTTTCCTATAGTGCCTGTCAAGAGCTCTACAAACGGACAGCTCCAAAGCTTTGTACTGCGCTTCAGCGATGCTACTTCCCTTTCAGCCGTTCGTCGTCGCGGCCTGTCACACCGGACTTATGGAGGTGTGTGGACGGACTTAGTTTTCCCTCATGGTTTTGTTTTGCTTTGTTTCCAGGCTGCTTTTGTTCGCCGAGCTCTCAAACAGCCTAGCCTACAGAAAGCTTACACCTTACACACCATTTCCACGGTTGTGGGAGGAACGTTATTTATTGCCGACGATATGTATCCAGACACGCCCTTTTTGCATGCTGCTTGGCACATTGCCGCGGCAGTGGGCGTGACAACATGCAACAAGCTCCTGAATTCTTAAGTATTTTATTGGTAAGCTTGCTGGTCTTATTTGAGATAGAGTATACGAAGAGTAATCGCATCGCGAAGCAAGGACTCTACACAGTTGTGAAGGCAGCATCAATATCTCCTGGAACTTCAAATGGAGGTACTGTTTGGTATCCCTCTACCTGTTAATCCCGGGCCGGAGCTTGGAAACAGGAGGGTGTATGGAATTTGCACTGGTCCTGTCCGGTTCTTGAGTTTCGTGTCCTTGTTCCTTGTCTGGATGAGTTCTTCTACTGCCTTGAGTTTCTCAGAAAACTTGGTGAATGCACTCTGAGCTGCTTGGTTGTTGGTCCAGTTCTGGATTATTCTTTGTCCCAGGTACTCCTCGTCTGCTGAATGAGTTGCCAGAATTTCTATCGTTGTCATAACTGACGTTGCTTCTGCCTTTGTGGACACTGCAGATAAGAAGAAGTTTTCCGGATCCTTAAGAAGCTGCTTGTGTTCCTCAGAGCCTTCTCGTGGGATTTCCCTGTGCGTGGCTGTTGGGTGATTGGGCATGTAACCAGCGTAGGCGTACTGTCCAAAGTTTACGGCAGCATGGTGTGCAGATGCCAACCAGATCACAGTTGTGAGCACGCTTACCAGGTTCGGCTTGCTATTCATTTCCACCCACCATGTCTCGTCTTTCTTGTCACCGTGACCAACGTTAACAATTTCCGTCCACCATGCCTGTAGTTCCTTGTCACTCTCTATGTCTGCGTCATCTTCGTAGCAGCTATCTACATATTCCTGTGTCCACCTCTCAATTGCATCCCAAATCTCCAAACCGTCTGCTGCATATGGATAGTCGTTGATAGCCAGTTTGAGGCCATGCTTTGAGTTTGCATCTGGAGTTGCCATTCCCCTGGAAAATGTTCGAACTTTTAGATTGTTTTACATCCCTTGCGATGCCTACCTTTTCAGTAAATCTGCAGGAAGTCCTTGGTCGTCGAACCTCCATGTCCTATAGACAACGGAGCTCAACTCCATTGAGTACCTCCTTGTTGAGAAGCATTTCTCTATTATACCATCAGCATTTATCAGTGACTGCCTGGCTCGAGCGTTGATTGACATTGTGTTCTTGAAGTGTGGAACCAGGAACGGATTCAAGGGATGAAGCGCACTCAGGTTTCGATGTGTCGCAATGATAAAAGGTTCCAGGCAGGCATGAGTTCTTAAACTGCAGAGGAAAAACATGTCAGGTATGAGAGACGGCATTGTTGACAGCTTACAAGTGACTTATGAGCTGGTGATATCCTGAATCATTTGTAGTTACGTGTGCTTTTGCGAGATGCCATAACCAATCCTCTGTTCCTGGTGCAGGTGGAAGAAACACCCTTTTGTTTTCTGACTTGGAGGAAGAATCCGGTGGCAAGCTCAACTCGATGGCAATAGGCTTTAGAGTTCCATCCGCTTTGAGGTACAGTAGAGTTCTGGATGCGTAAGCGTGGATTTCCTTGATGCTGTTGATTTTGGTCAAGTAAGGCAAGTATGCATCATGGTAGTCTAAGATGAATAGCTTCTTGTTCTCAAGTGCCTGCTCATATGAGTCAGTAAAAATCGTCACCAAGTTCCATTTTTCTTACTTGCTGGACTGTGTTTCCTTCAAGCTGAGAGACAATATGTTCTTCTGTAATGGCTGACTTTTGTGTTCCGTATACTGCTGGGTCCAGCGTGCTTTCTGGTGGAAAAACCTGCATACAGCGGGTCATTTTTCTTACCAGCATTTTGAAACTAGATTACCTCTAGTAGCTGAATCGCCATGGGGTTTAGTCCGCTGATCATCTGCCTTGCGAATTCGGCGTCGGACATCCATCCTTTCTCGTTGGCTGTAGAAATCAGTTTTCGCATCAGAAAAATCGCAGAGGTGAACTTACTAATTACCTTTGATAACCGTAGGTATTGGATACATCAGCAAGCTTCCACTGTCTCCAGTCGACAGGCTTTGGACAACCTCAGCTGGATCAAGAATGTCGTCGTCTCGTTTGCACTTGCTCATATCAACTCCTTCCACGTACAGATTTTGCACTTCACCAAAGCTATCAAACGTTTCATCTGCTGTGAATGTGCTTTCCAGGTTTGGGATCAGGCTCTGTGCCGCGGCTTTTATGGCGGCCGTTAGGAAGTTGGACTCCTTAGTTGTGCCAAATCGTTCATCACTCGGTATGTAGTAATTCCCTGCTGCCTGGCTCTCGGTAGCTTTATCTGGAAAGCAGTGCTTAGCACAGCTATTAATATTACTAGTGTAAAGCACTCACCTGTTTCCTCTGGATCTCGTCCAGTTCGACACCGTCGTGGATACGGAAATTCTGCAGAACCCCCGAGTGTAGGCCGCTGGAGGGACTTGTCAGTATCCGGTTTCCCAAGATCATTGTAAGTGGCGTAGTCATATATTCGTTCCCAGACTTTTCTTTCACCTGTTCCATTGCCTCTCAGGTTCAAAAGCTCCTGATTCCGAGCGTCAACAAGGCCGGCCGGTGTGTCCTTGGGAAGAGTCAGCTACGCGCACAAATGAAGATGGAACATTAGTACCCTGTGACGGCGGACGAAAGAATGAAACTTACGTGGTTACTGAAGAAGATGCGGTCGTTTGGATACCGGGACACATTGTACACCCAGGAATTGCAGGGGAATTCTATAACTTGTTGCTGAGGCAGCTCGAGTGTTAGAGATTTGAGGTAGAACTCGTTCGGGTGCTTGTTTCTGATGGTGAAGGCACCGGGAACTCCAAAGTCGTCGCCGATCTCGAACTTAACATTCAACTCGACATCTTCAGTTGCCCGCAATCCTCCAGACACCAGCCAGCCGCCAGCAGCAGCTCGTTTGGACAGTGTTAATTTCTTGGTTCCTGAATGAAGGCACGCTTGAATTGTGCTTGCTGAGCAGATGAGACACTACAGACCTGGATTGATCTCGGTGCTGATGAGCTGCAGCGAGATGTTCTGGCCGAACAAGTCTGAAGCGACATCCACCAGGTGAGCTCCTATGTCCGTTAAGCTGAGGAAGTTCTTCCTGTGTACAACGAGCGTGCCATCGAAACTTACTGTTTTTACCGTCGCCATTGCAGATGATCCCTCGAGAGCTTGCACGAGGTCGCTTTTAAAGTTCTTACGGAGGCGGCAGAGAAGTCTCAATGAAAGTCTCAACACGGTAAAGCAATAGGACTCTTTCTGCGGTCCTTTAACTCAGTTTAGCGCTATGGACCACAAGAAATCACTCGTTTTGCCATGGTTGTTACATGTTTGTTGTATCTTCCGTAAGGACTTTCATCACTGGCGACTAGCAGAGAGCGGCACGTCGGTTCCACCTCCCAATCCGAGAGGTAAGTCTATATACGCACTCTGAAAAACGCTGATTTTCTATTTTCTTGAGCAGCACACGAAGCACAATCCCTCGCCGGGTTTCAAAGTTGGTGTTTCGTGGAAATTCAGCCAGAGATATCCTTCAAATCTTCAATGCTAGGAGGAAAATGGAGAAAGTGGACCTGACTCTCGGAGAGGGACGGACGATCAGGAAGTGTTTGTGGCTCTCATACAAGATGAGAAAGCGCGGAGGGGGAGTTAAATTCCTTGGTCAGCAAATGCCAGTCTTGGACGCGGAAATGCCGTTCAATCCATTCGTCAACCGGCACGTCTCCATCAGTAGCAACTACGAGCTCACAAAGACGCTACTTTTGCTGCCACTCTTCGTCTTCCGGGTCTCCGTCTTTATCCTGCTGCTCGTCGTCGGCCTTGCCCTCACCAAGCTAGCTCTCCTCGGTGCTCGGGAAGTTCTCAATGCTCCACTGCCATTTTGGAGGCGCAAGCTTCTGTGGCCAGTCCGGTACCTTGCAAGATGCCTCCTCTTCTTCTGCGGTTACCACTGGATCGGCGTCAAAGGCAAGCCGGGCAGGAAAAGAGACGCTCCAGTTCTCGTCTGCAACCACGTAACTTTCGTGGATCCAGTCTACATCTTCTACAAGCACTTGCCGGTGATCGTCACGGCGGAGGAGAACCTCAACTATCCTTTCATGGGGACGATCATCAGTGCCATGCAGCCGATCACCATCCGGAGAGAGTCCCAGGAATCCAGAAACAAGGCCGGGGTTGAGATACGCAAGCGGGCAAAGTCTCCGGAGTGGAAGAACTCGCTTATGATCTTTCCGGAAGGGACGACCACCAACGGGAAAGCTATGGTGTCCTTCAAGAGTGGAGCGTTCTCTTCGAGCTCGCCCGTCCAGCCGATGGTGGTGAGATATCCCCACGTCCACTTGGACCCGTCCTGGGTGGCGGACGGGCCCTCGGCCTACGCGCTGCTCTTCCGGCTCATGACGCAGTTCCACAACTACATGGAGATCGAGTACCTCCCGGTGATGCGTCCCAGCAAGCAGGAGAACCCACGCAGCTTTGCCGAGCGCGTCCGGGCGGAGATGGCGCGAGCTCTCAACGTGGTGGTGACGGAGCACACCTTCGACGACGTGAGCATGGTGGACGCAGCTCGGGGTGCCTCCTCCAAGCTCGATCTTCTCGAGTTTGGGAGGTTCGAGAGGCTCTACAGGGTCACGCCCAAGGAGGCCAAGCGTTTCTTCCGGAAGTTCCGGGCCCTGGACGTCCAGAGGAACGGTGTGGCGAGCGAGGAAGATCTGGCGGACTATCTGGATCTCCCGAGCTGCGAGGCAGTGAGCAAAGTCTACGAGCTCTTCGACTCCAAAGGCTGTGGCTACTTCAGCTTTCGCCAGTACGCGGCGGGGCTGCTGTTCATCTCGAGGCACGAGAGGTTCAGGGAGGCAGCCGAGGCGGTGTTTGAGAGGCTGGACAGGGACGGAGATGGTTTGCTGAGCTCGAGCGATTTCTCTGCCGGACTGAGCGAACTGGTCCCGGGAACCAGCCGGGAACACGCGAAGGCGCTGTGGGATAGAATCAACGCCAAGCAAGGGAGATTCGTCCACCGGATCGAGTTGCTTACGTTTCTGGACAGGAATCCAGAGTACGTAGCAGTGTTTTTGTTTGGAGCTCCGAGGTTGCTGTCGAATGTGAAGGCCGAGACAACCATCCTGGAACCGAGCTCGACTGACCAAAAGAACTTTACTGGATTTACTACGGATGCTTCTCCAGGGCCATCAGTTTGAAGAACTTGGTTATCAGAGAAGAAACTCTGAGAGCTGGGATTAGAAAATCGTGTCATCACTGGCCCCAAAGATCTATGCTCTATCCAAAGGATGAAAGAAGAAACCATCAGTGCTTTGCCTCTATCAAAGAATGATCTCTGACCGCTGAGTTTGTAAGAAGCAAAATCCATCACTATGCCCGAGACCCTAGCCGCCACAGTAAATATCCTAGACCTAAACGAATATCCTTATTATAAGAGAATATCCTTTCCTTTATCCCACTAACACGCATTGAGATAAAGGGCAGGATATTCTCTTAGAATAACGATAAACGAATATTCAAGTACATTTATTTCTATTCATGAAAAAGTTACAAGCCAAGAGAATATCCTTTTCTTTATCCCACTAACACGCATTTTGCTAGCAACTTACATTTATTTCTATTCATTCGAAAAACTATTATCATTGATAAAAAAGTTTAGAACAAACCCACATTTCTATGGATACACATAATAGGAGCTGTAAGAATTCGAGGGGGTGTAAGGGGTGTAATAGGGGTACCACGGATCGAAAATCTCGGCATAGTAATTGAGGCTGGGATCGTAGTAATCGGCAGGCATCGAAAGCATGGGATCGTCACCCACCTCTGGCAGTATAGCAAAGCAACGTAAGAGGAGTGAGATTCGGAGAAGAATGGAAAGCGATGGAAACATACCCGAGTAATCTCTAGGCCAAGATGGCAAACGATAGTGCTTGAGGTGTTCTCGCGGCCGCCACTTTGCATCCAGGCACTTGCATTTGAATCCCTCGTAGTAGGCGACGTAGTTGTGGACTAGACACCGGCATCGCCACGAGAATGGCAGCGGCCTCAGGCCCTTGAGCAGCGAAATCTCGGAATGGAAGATGATCTCGGCTACCATCTGCCAAGTGAACAAGAGAAGGGCTTAGAAAACGCGAGGGAGAAAAGCCCAGCAGGACGAAACCTGGGTGGCGGTTTCGTTGCGCTGCTCTTGAGCGATGAGATCCTGCTTGAGCCTGTATCCAAGGGTGAGAGGAACCGGCAAGGCGATCGCAAACGCACGGAAGAGAGGCCGGATGACACTGTCTCGCGGATGGCTGATGTTGTCAATGCGATCGACGGCGAGAGCCAAGCCGTGGTAGAAGGTGGTGAGCTCGATGGAGCTATGGTGGATGTCGAGGTGCTGGTTTGGATTGGTGACGATCATCTGGACCTCACAGATGTAGTTTAGCTTGAAAGCGTAGTAGTTCCCTTTACCTTCCTCTTGCTGGCGCCGGATCACCTCGGGCTTCACCTCGGAGAGCCGCGAGATTCCCATGGAGACGGACTTGACATGGACGATCGGGAGCACTGGGCGCTCATGGAGATGGACTCCCAGGAGGACGAGGCAGAGAACAAGGCTAGCTGCGAGAAGGCTCCCTCCAACGATGGCTACCGCGTAGAACAATCTGGTGCGCGTGGTTGATGAGAATTTCTTGAATCTGCGAAACTCCATGAGGTTGAAGACGAGGAGGACCGGAAGATCGGGGCGGTCGCTGAGGCCCAGCCCATGGTAAGGATCATAGTAGTCGTCTTCGTCCCACAGATCTTGATCCGGGACGCCAGCATCGGCGCCGGCACTGCTGCTCGGTCCTAGATCTTGCCCCCGACTGGCGGCATCGGATCCGCCTACCTGTAAATTCTGCTCGATGTCGAACGCTACTGCTCTCTTGGCGCCGATCGTCGGCGCTTGATCGTCCATCACTCCATCTCCCACTCGGCGCTTCCATGATCGAGCTCCCGAGAGACCTAACCCTTCGACCAAGAACCCTAAATCCCCAATCTAACGGCATGAATTCAAAGAGCTCCCGCCAATTCCGACGGCCTAGATAAGTTTCCATTCTCTAAAGCTACTTAGACAAGGATGTCGAGCCTGGGCTCAAAGGATATCCCATCGATGAGCCCATCGATGAGCCGCTCGTCCGGTAACGTACAGTCCGGAACCCTACTCCACTGCCGCTCGGCTAGGTCGTACAGGAGCATCGGCATATCCCTCAGCCCGCCACCAATGTAGAGCAGCACCACATCGTTGGTCCCTACGCACATAAAATACGTACGATCTCCCAAAAACTCCTGGCACAAAGATTCCGGCATCTTGTCCACCTCCACCCACTCCATCCTCTCCACGTTGAGCAGCCACACGCATATCGCGCTGGTAATATTCCCCTCCTGGAGCCCGCCCACCATCATGATCCTGCCCCGGGATTCCAGGATCGTGTTGCTCACCAGGGAATCCGGCGTGGGCGTCTGGATGAGGCTCCACGTGTCCTTGTACGTGTCGTAGGCGACAAGCCCGTCGGGGTCGCAGCACCACGAGTAGAGAACGCCGTTGCAAGTGATGGTACCGAGCAGCGGGTCCGCACCGCGCGGCATGCTGCTCGTCATCCGCCACGTGTCGAGCCCGGACTCGTAGACCTCGGTGGTGATGTCGTCCACTGAGATCTCGTGGTTCCCCGCCACCACGACTTTGTAGAGGCCGGTCCCCTTGTCCACCACCATGCCGACCGTCTCTAGATAGGTCGGGTTGTTGTTCATTGGCGGGAGCTTGCGCCAGGTGGCGGTGATGAGGTTGCACACCGCGAAGTTTTTCTGGCCGTCGGTGGAGGCGCAGAAGCAAATGAGGCCGCCGGCGGCGGCCACCGGGATGTAGCGCTCGTTCACCGGAAAACTGGGCAGTGGGATGTGGTGCCACGTGTTGGATATCGGGTTGAATGTGGAGCCGTCCTTGTAGTCATGGTTTGTGAACATGAAGAACCAGGGGCCCTGCGGCGAGATGGAGCTGTAAGATTCCAGGAATCCGTCGGAGCAAAGAAGGGATCTCCAGGCCCGGCATACGGTCCGGAATTTGAGGAGGCTCGGCAGGGGTAGCCGAAGCAAGACCCTCTCCAGGAGATGCTCTGGGAGTGTGCTCCACAGCAGGGAATCCATGGGTGTTTGATCCATTTGGTGGCGCCGCTGGTGCTGGGCGGTGCAGTAGGATCGCCGCCGCTGCCGGGTGCCATAGCTTCCCTGCCCAGGGTCTTCTTCTTCTTGATCCTCCTCCTCTTCCTCCTCTTCTTCCCCCTCGTCCTCCTCCTTTCCAGTGGCCATGGGTTTTTTCAGAGAGGCGCTTGCGCCCATTCATCCCTTCATCAAAAGCGCGTCGATCGCCGTCACTTCCATCTCCATCTCTCCACTTTTTGATCCATCCGATCCAGTCGATCGCTCAATCGCGGCTGGGCTTCCAAATCCCCAAATTGCTCGATCGAGAGAGGAACGACCAGCTATGGCGGAATGAAGGGGTTTCTCTGTCCGTGGACTAGGGCTTTTTAACGAACTGACACGTGTCCGAGTGAAACCAACGATATGCCACGTTAGCGTCGATATCTTTTATTTGCTGCTTTTCTATTTGTACAATATTCTTTTCCTATTTCATGCTCTACACGCCTTCGAAAATTTAGGGTTTATGGGTCGGGTGGGATCCTCGGCGCTGTCGCTGTCGTGTTCTTGGCAAAGATTTTAGGTCGAGGAGAGCGGATGTCCCGGTGGATCTAGGTCTGGATGATCCGCGGCTGAGGAGGCGCGGGGCGAGAAGCAAGGTATGGCGGGATCCAGGCTCCAGGGATCACAAGTCTCCTCCAGCTCCTCCGCATTCTCGACGCCGCGGATTCTCATCCTCCTCACGCTGATGCCCCTGGGATTGGCTGCCTTCGCGTTCGTACTGCAATGGCGGGGCGAGGTCACGGATCCGATGCGCCTGGGCGTCGATCGCTCCAGATTTCCAGGGTTTCCAGGGAGCTCCCCGATTGGGAGCACTAGTGGCGTCGACTGTGGTGGGCAGCAGCGAGGGCTCAGCGCTTTCATCCATCATCCGGGGTGGAAGTACGCGATCCCAGAGAATGGAAAGCCAAAGATTTGCGTGACAACCAGCACGGCCGGGGGTTTAGAACAGATCCTTCCATGGCTCTACTATCACAGGGTGATCGGTGTCACGAATTTTCTCCTCTTCGTGGAGGGGAAGGCTGCGACTCAAAACGTTACCGCGGTCCTGGAGAGCATCCCTGGCGTGAGGGTGGTGTATAGAACCAAGGAGCTGGAAGAACAGCAGGCCAGGAGTAGGATCTGGAACGAGACTTGGCTCTCGAGCTTTTTCTTCCGACCTTGCAACTACGAGCTCTTCGTCCGGCAGTCTCTCAACATGGAGATGGCGATCGTCATGGCCCGCGAGGCCGAGATGGACTGGATCATCCATCTCGACACGGACGAGCTCCTCTACCCGGCAGGATCGCCCGAGTACTCCCTCCGGAAGCTCCTGGGCGACGTTGCTCCGGAGGTGGACATGGTGATCTTCCCGAACTACGAGAGCGCCATCGAGCGAGACGACGTGGTGGATCCTTTCAGCGAGGTGACCATGTTCAAGAAGAACTACGATCACGTCACCAAGGAGACGTACTTCGGGCTCTACCGAGAAGCGACGCGGGGGAATCCAAACTACTTCCTCACGTATGGAAACGGCAAGGCCGCGGCCAGGATCCAAGACCATCTTCGTCCAAACGGAGCTCACCGGTGGCACAACTATCTCAAGGCGCCGAAGGAGCTCAAGTTCGAGGAGGCGGCTGTTCTTCACTACACGTACTCCAAGTTCTCGGACCTCACCTCCCGGCGCGATCGATGCGGGTGCAAGCCCACCAAGGACGACGTGAAGCGCTGCTTCATGCTCGAGTTCGATCGAGCAGCGTTCATCATCGCGTCCACGGCGACGCGGGAGGAGATGCTGCGGTGGTACCGCGAGCACGTCGTGTGGACGGACCGGGAGCTCAATCTCAAGCTCCTCCGGAAGGGACTGCTCACTCGGATCTACGCTCCGCAGCTCATCGTCCAGGGGCTGCGGCAGTCGGGGGTGCTCAACAACGCTCTAGCGGCGGGACAAGAACAGCTCGAGAGATTGAAGACGAGGGATAAGTTCCTCTCGGCGGTTTCCACCAGGAACTCTTCCTCCTCGGAGCTGGGATCAAAAGACAGCAAAGATGATCATCGCTTGGCCTCCTCGTCGAGGAGGCTCATGGATTTATCGAGCTTGAGTTCTTCGGCGATGGTGGTGGAGGATGATCCATTCGCAGCAGTGCCACCATTGCCACCTCCGGTACTTTAAGTTCGATCGATCGATAAGTTTACTCACACTCGCAAACACTTACTTGTGCTTGTGAATTTTACTAGAGATGAACAAAGAAGAACACGCTGCTACTTTTTTTTCCAGATCTCTCGATTCTTACAAGTGATCGTCGATCAATGAAGTTTGTACTTTGATTGTTTTTTTTTTTGCTTTACAACCATAGCTCGAGATGGGCTGCTCGAAAGAATTGAAGGAATGAAAGAACGATGGAATGGGTTTCTTTCTTGCAAGAAACCTGGAGTGTTACTATGGATCTATCGAAACCCCCGGAGCAAGAGAGCGGCCTTTCGATCGTCTGTGGATCTGAGCTCGAAGCTGCTGCTCCTGGAGATGGGCGGAGGGTGGGAAGAGCAAGAAGAGAGCGGCGACGCTGGCGGCGAGAGTGGGAGCGAGAGGCTCCTGGAGAGAATCCCTGGCGGCGGCTGGAAGAAAGAAGTGATGTCTTGGAGAGGGAATCGAGGGATCGGATCTGCCGATTCTTGCCACCAATGCGCCATCGCCGCGCCCGCGGTTCTTACGCCGGCATTGGAGGACGCCGCTGCCTCCGCCGCGTTCTCACCCTGGCCGCCATCGTCCGTGTGGAAGACCTCGCCCTCGCCGAGCTCACCATCGCCGCCAGGGATCGATCCGGAAGAGGAGGGCAGCATTGCCATGGCCATTGCGGATTCCTCGAGCGATCGAGCCTGAAAATCCCTAAACCAAGATCTGGCGCGCGCGCGCGATCGATCCACAAACGCGGGCCTTCGAAATGTGCCCCCCTCGCGAAATAAATCTGGCAAAACATAGCGCCAAGAGTTCAAAATTTTCGCGATCGATGGCGGCGATGGACGGCCAAGATTGGCGGGATTTTGAATTTGGAATCCCACTCATTATGCGATTAGGGCTGACCAGGCCTGGTTTAAAAGCCAATTTTTTCCCTCCCATTTTTTGGGGGGCTAGGGTTTTCCAGGGATTTTGGAGCGCGGAGAGCACTTGCGCGCCAAGAGATCCAAGTCGCCATCAAGAAAAGGTGTGTGTGGCTCCTCTCGCGGCCTCTCAATCGCCGCGTAGATCTGCTAGGCTTCATCGGGATCTAGATCTCTGCGATGGCGCGGCTTCGCAAGGCGACCGATTCCTGGTGTGAGCCCTTGCTAGAGGCCGACCAGTGCCCCTGCGAGCGCCTGCCAGATGTGGTCCTCTGCCGCATTTTCATGCTCTTGCCGCCTCGATTGGTCGCCAGGGTGTGCTCCTTCGTCTGCCGCTCCTGGCGAGATGTGTCACTGGATCCCTCTCTCTGGTCTTACTACTGCCAGAACACCGGGCTTCGCTCAGCTGACGAGATCAAGCTGAGTGGCGGCTGGAGAGCACTTTTCATCGCGGTCTTTGGTCCCAATCTCGTTGGAAGCCCCTGTTTCAGACCCATCGAGCAGCTAGAGGTGGATCAAGCCAAGAGCAAAGCTCCCGGGCCTTGGGAGCCTAAGCACAGGGTCATACTGGATAGGATCGCGGTTCTCGACGACGTAGAAGAGAACTACCATAGCTACTCTCACTGGGGGGTGGAGGCTGGGTCGCAGTTCCATCGAGGTGGTGGCGATGGCGTGGTACGAGAGAATCCTCCAGTGGACTGCTCTCCTTGCCCGTCGGTTCCACTCGAGAGTGTGATCGCTACTTCGCATGATTGGGGACGACTCCAGCACTACATTGGCTTCCAGACTTTTTCCAACAAGTTCCTCGATCAGAGCCCGCCGTTTGTTCTCACTGCCTGGTTTGCGGCGCGGAGAGGATCGCCGGGGCTTTTCAGGATCAACTTGCTGCTCAGGGATGATCTCAAGAACTGCAAGAGTGTCTGGTATGTAGATGTTTTGTTTGCGAGTTTTATCTGACTTTTTCCTTGCTGGTTTCAGGGACTCTGGGATTTTAAATGCGAAGGATGAGTGGCAACAAGCCAAGTTCATTATCAAGGACTACAACAAGGTTAGAACTTTAGCATTTGGTTCTCCCAAATTCATTTTTACTTGGGAGCAGGGAGTGAGGTCCGTTATGGTGAAGCTTGCTGGGAAGTGCACGACCGGGGAACGGGGTTTCTACGGCACAAAATTTACGGACGTGAGGCTGCATTTTATCCCGGTTTGTGAGGTGCGTAGTGGCTTTCCTTATCGTCTTCTCAAACGTTTTCTTTTGCTTTTCTAGATTAAAAACTATGCGGACTTTGACGAGGGTGTATTCTTAGATACTGTTGCATAAATTTGCAACTTGCTACGGTCTGTTCGGCCAGGTTTCTTATTCATCCCCTTTCTTCTGTTTGTAATTGAAAAGGACACTGCAGATTATTTCTTGACGTTGCTTCTTAGCTCAGGTTCCTGCACTCGTATCAGGCCTGCTGCCAAAATTCTATGGCAGTACTGCTTTTCGCGGAGTGCCAGAGCATGCTTTTGCTTTTTTGTGTACCGTTTCGGTGCTTGATGCTCTTTCTCGCCAGCACTGACTGTTACAAAAGCTACAGTGGATTTCTATTCGGTACATTATCAAGTAGAGGGGTTCTTACATTGAAAAGTTTTGCTTCAGCATACGGTATTTACAGATTTCTTCGTGGTTTAAGCCTTTCCACAGCACAGAAAACTTGGACATCGAAGAAACTAAGCAAAGACAGCGAATTTTACCAGTAAGCATCTAAGCTTGTCCTCACGTCTAACTTGTTGTGAAGCAGGACTTTCTCTCCATCTCCTCAGAAGCCTCATCGCCTTCTAAACGGCAAAGCTTTCTTCATCGTCTTCTAAACGGCCAAGGAAAAACTCTGGAAGAACCTCTTGAAGACGACGACGATGGCGATGGCGCTGCCGAGGGGACCGGATTCCTCCCAACGTCATACCGGCAAACCGGGCACGTCCCATGGAGAGCCAGCCAGGGAAGTATACAGTCCTGGTGATAGACGTGCTTGCAAGGCATCTGTCTAACTTTGTTTCCCACAGCGTAGTCATCCTTGCAAACCGCGCAGCTCGAGAACTCGTCGTTGCGAAGATGATCTTTGGAGATCGTGATGGTCGGCATCGAGTCGATCTGCTGCCTGCTTGCCGGAGGAGCTCCGCCGCCGCCAGCGTCGAGCTCCATGAGCTGCTGTATCAGCCGCTCGAGTCCCATGCCGTCGGGTCCAAACCCAGGGGAAGGATCGCCGCCGTGGAAGTACCACCGTGGTGGCATATCCCCCCCGCGGAAGACCACCATGCCGCCACCACCGCCACCGCCGCCACCGCCGCCGCCGCCGCCCCCGCGAGATGGGAAGAATGGCGAGTCGTCTATCTCGAGATCTTCCACCATGAAGTGCTGGAAGGGATGGAAGGGGCGCGGCCGCGGCGAGTTCCTCCTCATGGCCGATGCTACTGCGTCAAAGATATCGAGGAGGTGTGGAGGATTTGCCTCTGGAGACCATCTTGGAGCTGGAGCTTGCTCGAGGAAGCCATCGCCGCAGCAGGGGCAAGCTAGAGCAGTGCTTGGGGACTGGACGAAGACGATGTGCTCGCATTTGTGACACCAGAAGGAGCGAGATTCGTCCATGGAAGCTTGCTTTCTAGCACTGCTCTTGTGAGAATTCTTCTAGAGCTTGGAGTACCTGAATGTAAGAGAGAATTTGGAGCAGCAACTTGGAGTAAATAATCCAGCACTGGATCGAAACGTTGTTACCTGAGAAATAGGAGATACCCTGGGCGTGTCGGTTTGAGCATAGCTCTAGCCGTGGGGGACGCGTATGGCGTGTCTGCCTAGAAGGCACTCGTCAAACAAAGAAAAAGTTATAATAAGAACAACCCACCAAAAGGAAGGAGAAAATTATCAAGCACGAGAGAGGACGAATGCGCACCTCGAAGTTCCTGTAGCGAGGGAGACGAAAGAAGAAAAAGATAAAAGCTCGCCTGGCATCGCCATTGTCGGTCCCATTGATGAGTCAGAGCTAGCGTAATCGGATTAGCAAAATCAATCCTAGCTACAAGAGAGGAGAAAAATCAAGGAAAAATCAAGAACTTATCTATACGTACAATGTTGTACACGAAAACACTGACCAAAACAGTGATCAATCTCTGCAACTTGTAAGTGCCCGTGAGCTCCAGAAGGAAAAAAAAAAAAAAAAAGTCTCCTCTGAAAACTCGCGAGAGCTTACTTCTGGGAAGAGACGCCGGTGTTTTTGAGAAGCTCCCATCCAGCGTCAGGGAAGATCTTCCGGCAGTGGCACCATCTGGGCTCCGTATACCTCCATGGTCGATGGATTCTGGAGGAAAACCACTGCTCCACACTTGGTCCGGTTGAAAGTGTCCCAGAGCGGAAGCTTGAAGTGTTCCCGGACAGTCTTCCGGGCGGGCCAGTCGTGTAGAGTCGCTGCTTTGGCAATGCTTCTCACCACGAAGTCGTTTGTGAGGATCCGGCCCTTGTTCTCGCCCTTTTGGCAGTTGGTCACCAGGCCATTCTCGTAGAGCGCCACCATTATGTCTAGCGTGAACTTGTCAACCTTGAACTTGATGATGGCTTCCATTGTCGTGTCTAAGACGCGCTCTGGCTCGGTTTCGAGCTTGAAGGAGATCTGCAAGAGGAAGTTCTTGAAACTATAAGCGAGAAAAAACTAAAACTTGCTGGAAGTTTGAATCATGCGGGAGAAATTCTCGGATCTAGACGACAAGAATCTGTTTGGTTCAACCAAAGACAGGACCAGCGGGAGAAATTCCTGGCAATGAAAGTCACATCCTCACAGACCTTCACAGAACACGACGAAGTCACAAGAAAACACGCAATGAAACCAGGAGAGAAAGCAGCAAATTCTCGTGGATCGAGCAAGATCACATGGACGACAAACACGAAAAGCACGAAAAGGACCAAAAAAAAAAAGACGAGGAAGAGAGAAACTTACAGTGATGTCTGGCGCAGCAAATCTGGGAGCTTGATGGATGAGCGCTAGAATGGGCTCCAAGCTGGAAGCAATGCAGTGGGATCGCCCTTGGACAACCACCTCTGGAGTGTAAATGCTGTCCTGCTGGAGAGCCTGCCCATAATTCCTCTGCCGTAGCGTCCAAGTGCTGTTAGCGAATGGATCCTTCCATCCCATAAAGTCCCAGTACTCGACGTGAAAGCCAAGGACAACGATGGGCACCTCCAGCGCCACATCCGAGGATTTGGCTTGCCCAAGCTGCGAGATCAAGAGATCTGCCGGAGGACACGAACTACAGCCCTGGGATGTGAAGAGTTCCACCAGCACGGCGCTCTGGGAGGATCCTCCCCCTACCTTGGGGCCACGCGGCGCAGAGGATTTCTTGCTCTCCGGATCCAGCTGCTGCGGCTCCTCCTCATCTAGCTCCTCGATTTCCTTGGCGTCGGGATTGCTGTCTACCTTTGGGGATCTGTCGCAGGAAGCTCCGGCCCTAGAGAAGCACGCGATGCAGCGGCGAAGCATGATCTAGATCTTGCGCTCCACGGCGGCGGAGCTGAGCACGGGGGAATTCCACAAAGATCGATTGGAGACTGCCGCATTCCAGTGGTGGAGAATCCCTCGCTGCCCCCCCGAATATATTTTAGGGTTCTTGGCGCGCGAGGATTTTGGTGTCGAGAGGGGAGAAATGGAAGGAACCGCACGGAGCACGTCATGACGTGTGTCCTGAACGTCACACCCGTCAAATTTTAAGAGCATATTTTAGAATATTTTTTAATTAAAGCAACGAAAACAGCTTAAAGTCCATGACCTCGTCACACGAATCCCCTCCTCTGTTCTGGGAAAGGAACTCCCAATAAAATTCGCGAGCAAGTCCATGGATTAGATTTGTCTATTTCATTCATTCAATCTGTTCCCACTAAGGAGTTCTTGATGGATTGAGCCCCAATCTCGTGGTCTGATCAAAGCTTTTTGCCAGCAGGTAGATTACTTGAACGAACAGCTCTAGATTACAACTTGAGGAGCAAACTAGTCGAAAAATGTCAACAATTTCAAACCAAAAGTATATAACACATTGTTCCAGTAGAGAGTTGTGCCAACCATTTATATGCATTCCCCCTCTTTTTTGAATGAAATATCACCTTTATACTAAAGTTACTATTTTGTAAATCCCATGTTACCACTTTGATTTTTAGGTTATTCCATTGTGGCTTTCTTTTTGCAACTTTTGTCTAAATCTCTGTCGAGCTTTGTGAACTCTTCTAAGATGAGTAGTGCCATATCCCCATTGCAGATGAGAGTGTTTAGTGAATTGATTTTGTCAACAAATTAGCAATAGCCCAACTAACTTTCCAGCCTCTGAATGAAGTAAGTATTATTGATAAAATTTTGTCATAATCTTCTCAATCAAACACAAAAGACTTATTTATTTCAATAATCCTATTATAACTCCTTTGGTATTACAAATCCAATTCTCCCATAGTGTTTGAATGTAAATTGTTGGTAGAATATAAGCTTTTATTTAATATATTTTTGTGCAAACTAATAAAGGAGGAGGAAAGAAAAATTAACTTAAAATATTTTAATTAGTTTACCATAAAATATAAGTGCTATCTACAAGTATAAAATAAAATTTAAATCAATCACTTATGCTTTTTAATTTAAAAAAAGCTAATAAACATACTATATTTCTCATACTTAAAGTTTTTATTTCAGATGAAATAATTATTTTTAATTTTTTAATTATAGTAAGAGTTATTCAGTTTGTCTTCTATATACTAAATAGAACACTAGATTTTTAGAGATGACTATTATTTGTGAAGAGTAGAATATCATCTCTAAGTTTTTATACTAGCATAAATTTTCACCAAACTATCTTTTACTCTACTTTATATATGCAAGCCTTTTGTTGTCAGTTATATATTTTTTTTTCTGTGAATATTATCAAACTAGAAAATGGGCAATTGCTTGATGAGAAAGCCCTAACCACAAATCATAGTTAAAATGAAATACAAGACAAATGGGAGTTACAATAATAAAATTCATTTCCACTCTAAATTCACTCCATTAATTCACAACATAAACATTTTATAGCCACTCTATTAATCCACTTGATATCACTTCACTTTAACATCCACTTTAGCAACCACTATATACATTACTCCACTTCTTGTACTTTAGTTTGATGACCATAGGATAGGCATCAATTATTAAAACTACAAAACACTAACCATATCTGCCACATCACTATTGCCATTTAACATGTCAAGCTTTTAGTATTTAGTTAGGGTTTACAATTGGTGAGACTCCAGAAAAAAGACTATTACAAGATAAGAGTGTACATAGCCACACATGAGAATGAAAATGTGCTAAGAGATAAAAGATAGGCAATTTCACCATTAAAATTGGTGTGGATTGAAGTAAATTTTATTGCAACATAAGAACATCATAATACAAAGTCTTAGCTATAGAAGAATAATTGTTATGTTAACTTATATCTAACTAAGAGAGTTATCCCAAGGTGTCTCAAATTGATAATATAAAAAACCCATTGCATTATGGTGCATTGATACTAATAGTAATTGATGTGGATTGAAGAAGATGGAAATAATTTCCAGAAAATTTTATTATAATGTGAGAATATTATAATGTAGAGTCCTATATATACTTTTAGGGAGTTGTAGAAAGTAGGATTTTGGGTTGGCTATAGAAAAATAACTGTTAAATTAACTCATATTTACCTAAGAGATTGATTCCATGGTGTCTCAAATTGATAATATCGAAAACCCCATGGCATTATGGTGTATTAATACTAATAGTAAGTGTTTATGTCTTTCTAATTATTGTTTAACAACTTAGTTTTGTGTAAGATTTTGCATTTGAATTTCTTGAGAGGTCATCTAACCTAGTATTACTTAAACCCAAGGATGTTTAACCTCAATTATCCTAAAACCCTTAATCAATTGCACTTTTGCTCATAGACCATTTCCTTCTATATTAAAACCTTTACAAATCCTTTCTCGAATCATTTCTTTTGGTTGCTTACATTTTGATTTTGGATGGCTTAATAGCCTTGGGGTCTATATTTACATGAAATTATTAACAAAAGTATATATATAAACTTACTCTTTTTATGTATATGATATTACAAGCCCTTTTAGGAACCCATTATATAATAAGTATGCTTGTGTTAATAAACGAAAAAAGGCTAATAATATATAAGTAATGCTGCTTAATAGTTTTAAAATACAACTAAACCAAGCAAATGCATGGCAATTGGGTGGGAAAGTTCAGCAAAATCAAGACTTGATATAATCAATGTATAAAAGGGAAAAAAAAAGTTATATATGGGTCATCCATCCATAACTAAGTGTTTTTTGTAATACATTGTAGTATAATTCTCTTTTACTAAAGAATTAAGCACTTTTAGAGGATATGGTACAAAGTCATATGGTATTTCAATACCATATTAACTCATCAATATATGCAATGAGTGGCAAGTGTATAGATTGAACAAGGTTATTTTTATAAGCTTTTTGCAATGACTTGGAAGAGCATATAAAGGCCTGAAATATATATATTGTGCAGATCATCACTAAAAAATATATATGTTTTAGTATAAATGTTCTAGCATGAATATTTTAACTGAAGGAATGCAAGAAGAGGTATATAAACATATATTCAATAGTTTTTAAAATTGAGTTTATGTTGCAGTGCAACGGCACTACTCACCAACAAAGACATTGTAGAAATAATACACAAACTTTATCACAACCCCACTCCACATAACTTTTCAAGGTTTTCATCTTGCATAGAGTGCAATAAGTGTGATTGCCAACTAGTGTTTGTTTCCAGCCATTGTTGAAACTACAAGATACAACCTACAGAACATATATGCTATTAGAATTTTATACCTTACACCTTATGCCAATTGGCTAAAGAGGTGATCACTTGCTCTTTTTTATCTTATTATCTTTAGTGCTTAACATATATCACATTTAGAATTTGATAAAAAAAAACTGATGTATCATGCAATCATGACAGAGTTGTCTTAAATATATTGTGTTACTATTCTACTTAAAGAGTACTCAAGAGGCAATTAGTCCATTTACCAAAGCCTTGACAAAGCATAGACAAACTTGTTTGTTCTTGCTTGAAGCTATATAATAATCCAAAAGTTATTGTATTCATAAAAAGCTTGTATATAAATTCATATTTACCACTGAAATCCATTCAAAACTATTTAGAATTATTTTCATGACCTACCATTCTTTGCCACCTAAGTCCATTGAAAATTATATGTAAAATCACAACCTTATTTACCACTCAATGATTATCATTGTGTTTCATTATGTACTAAAGCTTGTAGTCCAACTAGCTTTATACCTCTTGTCAAATTTAATCACCATATTATATGTAGACACCTTGGGCAACTATAGCTCCATGCACACCATAAAAGAAAATTGGAAGTGCTCTAAAGTGACTTAGTGCTAAGAAGCAAGAGCTTGTGGTGAAATGGTGGAGCTTCTAGAGCTCCTTGGTTATTATTGTGTTAATTGAAAAAACTATCCATTTGTACACAAAAATGAAGATTATTGCCATTGCAAGTCATAAGCTATAAGCCAATATGTGATTGTGAATTTGCCCAAAATCCTACTGTAGAAAATTATTTAAAATTTTATCAAGAACTACAAGCTACTACATACTCTCCATCTATTCTGTAATATTGGACACATAACATGCTAAAGCCTTTACATAAAGTTGTGGCAATGGACTGCAATTCCATGAATAACACCTCATAAACATTACTTTGAATAGTTTGCTCTAGAGTGTCTTGGTAGTATGTGACCAGTTCAATCATCTCAAGAATATCCTTGTATGTGCATAAAGTGTCACTTTCCTTTGGATACTTCAGGTTGTCCTACTGATGCTCAACATCACTCCTATTATGCAAGAAGTCCAACTATGTGGCACATAGAGCTACAGGTCCCTCTCAAAAATCATCCATTAGGCCTCAAGGATATCTTTCTTTGTGAGGCACTCATTGCAAATGAAATGTAGTATTATAACTGTATAAGGGCAATTAACGTGGATGCTCGATGCAAATATATAAAACATGAGAATGCCAAGAAAGACTTATGATATAGTTTGATCAAAAGCCATCATTGAGAAAACTAGGTCAAGATATGTCCAAGCTGGTCAACTAGACGAAGCGAAGAAAGTGTTCAATGCAATGCCTCGTCGAGACATGACTTCTTGTAATCTTCTTCTACCAACTATGGGGTCTCTATTCACCAATTGTTACCACTACTTGTTGAAAGAAACTCAAGAAGCCTCTTAGAGCCTACTTCCATGCTGCTTGGAGGGCTTGTATTATGGCCTTTAAGCATGGAGTGTAGATTGCTACCAAGCATCATTGGTTATATAAATGTAAGTTGTGGGAATAAGTTTTCCACCCCTTGGAAACAAGAGGAAAAGCTTATGAATTTTCCTCCATTATACTATTTATAAAAGGTGTTCATTCATTCATATGAACCACCTTGCACATATGTATTCACTCTATCTATGTTGCAAATTTCCATTAGTCTAAGTATCAGATGCCCTAGTATATTTCACCAAGCCCTTAGTAAGAATATGCTCAAAAATCAAATTGTAGGACATGTAATTT